GTGCTGATTAAGAAATACTAATATTTGTAGGTCTAGATATGAGAACTCCTTGCCCCACCTGTAAACCTATAAAAATGTACAGTCACACAATATGTGACACCCAACCCCAAATGTGCGTCTTTAGCCTATTTATTCACATTCAAAAATCTAATTCTTGATTTCTGTTAGACTTGTGCTATATTCATAACTACGCTGAATTTATGCTATACCCAATTGCCAAAATCAGAAACAAACTATTCAACTATTTCCATTGACATCGGTAGGAAGGGATGTTGACAGCTTCTGGATGAGCAAGTGCTGCCTGATGCTTGATGGAAACTTCAGAGAATTCAATACAAACATAAGACTCATTTGCATCCACAAAACTGGGAAGGAACTGGGCAAGTGTTACATATGTCTGAGTTTCTGTGTTAATAAAAATTAATACCAGATCCCTTGTTTTTCATCCAAGTTTATTCCCTAAAAGCTTCATCATGCTCAGATTTTTCAAATGGACTCCCTGACTTCCACAGAACTAGTCATATCTAAAGCAAGTAGGACTGTAAGAAAAATTGCTTCATGAGATTACAGTGAAAGTTCCAAGGAGCACATCTTGATGTGTGTGTCTCAGGCTCCTTGCTTGCTTACATTGGTCTCCATGAACTGTCGCAACAGAGCACAGATACCTCTGAGGGATCGAGTGGTGCTGCCACATCAGCACTAAGTGCTGTCTGAACCACCAGGTCATACGTGATAGGGCGCAGCATTTCTCTAACACAACTACCTTGATTTTGGTTCCAAGCACACAGTTCTGTGTGAAGGCACTGTTAATGAATAGAAGATGGGCTTGGGCTGGCACTACCTTCAAGCCCTCCTTGTGCCATCTTCCAGAGGCTGGTGCAGACCTGTCCTCTGTGAATTAGAAGCCCAAACTCCATAGACATCTAATGACACAGTTTTTGACATTACCAAAGGCTTCATTTTACTGTGACAAACACTCCTCTTCTGGCCAAAACAGTCAAGTTACAGGCACGCATGAAGAACCACAATATCCCACGTTTCAGTGTACTCCTTCCGTGCTGTTCATATGGTTGATCACCAACAGTCTTCATGTCTCGGAATGTAATTAAAAATACATAAACCAATATAATAACAATAAGAGACATATAGCATAATAAAAATAGTTCAATTTGTAAAAAAAATAATAAAAATAGAAGCTAGCCTTGTAAGAGGAGAGACATGATGGGACTGCAGGCTGTGAGGTACAGCTCTCCACACCTCTGTTGCGTGGGCAGCAGGACTCCAGAGTCACACTTTGCAGCTGTGCAGTTTCCAGAGCAACACTGAGGATGCTCATAATTAGGTGATGAGAGGCTTGACCTTTGAGGCATTGATGGTTTAAATACCAAAATTCAGGCTCCAAACATTTGCTTGCACTTCAGCACAAAACCCCTGCAGAACCATGTCTCTCCTTTTCTGTGGCCCTACAGCCCTGCTTTCACTTGTTAAGCTTTTCACTAAGCACAGATAATAAATTTTCTCCATCATTTATAACACTCATGTACAGAGCATTTAAGAGTTACTTTTTTGCTCTTGTGCTTTATCCTCTGTGCTAATAGCCTTGTAGCCAACAAAGCAGATGGAGCTGAAATATAGATGCGAGTAAATAAGTATAAAAGTGATGTTAATGAATTCCCCCATCTCACAGAATGGGAGAACAACATGAAAAAGGTCTGCCAGAATATATTTTTTTACATCAGTTCTACTTTTCTTCTATTTTGCAGTATGTGAATGACCAAATGCCTCCAGCTAGGGTGGTAAAAAAATGAAAATAAAGATAGACAAAGCAGCTGAGAAGCCGAGATTTTTTCCTGGCCTCTGAAAATGTCAGATTCTGCAGGCTAAGACTCTCTTGAACATTAAATATTGCTTAATTCTTACAAGTACCACAGAAGACAGCTTTATGATCCAATTAAAAAAAATAAATGTTTTGTTTGAAAAGCTTGTTAGCCTTTTAGATAAAGTCAGCTTAGCTGCAAACCTATCTATCAAAGTTTCATTTGATTACAAATTTAAAAATGCAGATAAAAAGGCCAAACAAACACCAGCCAAACCTGAAGATTTACATAGTGAGGGCTCCCAGATTCTCTCTTTGTTTCCTTTGGTTTTGTAGTCATGATTATTCGTTACTATTTTTAGCATCAACAACGTGCTTCTCTGGATATTAACGAAACAAGCGGAGTCACATTCCTACAAGGAAAGGAAAGTCAGACAATAGAGCACCCCAGCCTAGTTCGAGGAAGACTATGCACTATGGAAAGAGTAAGTCCTAGTAAATGAATAACACCCCCTGTGAAGTTCACAAGTATTATGCCTGGACCAGATGTGCAGGCACAAGCTGGCATATAATAGGACCCAACTATCTTGATTCCTGGGTCAGTGATCAACAGGCATGTTTCTCTTGTCAGCAATGTAGGCTCACCACCCACTGACTTCTCAAGGAAGAGTGGAAGCTTCTGCCTTTGCAACCAAAAAGAAAACAATAACCAGAGAGACAGCTCTGGATAAAACAGCCTTTGCTAGAAACAACTGAGGGAACAATAACTAATGAACATCAAATTTTAAAGCTGCATAACACCCAGAACAGGCATCCACAAGGCTGACCAATTTAGCACTGCACGCTCGGGATGCCTTATTGTGGAAAGCTGAGAAAGTTGAGTTACAAATCAGTGAGTAGTGGTTTGCATAACACACGCTGTGGGTAAGAGGGGCAAGGAAAGGGCTGCATTTTTGTGTTCTCACAGTAAGCAGCACCTTTCTCACTATAGTAGGCCTATTTAAATCACTTATAGAAAAGCTTTCTCAACATAAGTATCAGAATCTAATGGATGTATTTTCCATTTACAGACCTGGACTGCTCCACAAAGACAAGAGGAAAGACTCTCCTAATAACTCGGGGAGGGAGAACAAGCAAAGCATATTTAGGTGATTTGTCCCTGGTAGAGAAAGAAGCAATAGCACTGGCATTTTTATTAATAGGTTGGAGACAGCTATCCGCTCTGCCTTCTCCTCCAAACCAGAGACTGGAGCTGCCATACCTTGTTGGTTAATTGTGATGATAATTTTAATTGTTTAAGTAACTGAGAACATGCACTATATCCTTGAAATACATTCAGGAAAGTGCAGAGTACTATGAAAGCTACAACTGAGGAACAATTTTGTATAAATATGAGGGAATGATTATTTCTTATCTCCTCTGATTTGCACAACTGCAGTTTCTGAATCTGACCAAATGACTTTGCATCAAACCCACAATTTTAGATTAAGTTGAAGCATCTAGCTTACAGAAAATACTCAGTCTCAGTCTTAAAGAGATTAGATGATGAGAAAGCCAAGATGTTGCTGAATTAACTGTTTCCAGGGTAAATGACCATCGCAGGTAAAACCATGAACTGTATTCCAAGACACTCTCTGTCCATCCTTAAGATCTTTAATATTTTTCTCAATGCAATGAAATTAAATATCTGGAACTATTCAAGTTCTAGCTTGAGTATACTTAAAATAGTGTCTGCTGATCTGTCAAACTGAAGAATTTGCATAGGAGTTTAAAAACAAGGATTTTAAGGGCAGAGCAAGTAATTTTTTCAAGATAATTTTTTACTTCAGAGTTGAATGCTATAATCAAATCCATGCACAAACCCACTTTTCATTTTCTGTATTCATTCTAGCATATTTATAATTAGGAGATAAATTTCAGTGGGTTTAAAACTACAAATAGACATTCACTGAGAAGAAATATAAATTATGCTATGGAAGAAAAAACACTGCAAAAATTAAAGAATAATTTATCTATTTGTTTTGTTCTATGGCTTCTCCATTATTTCTGTTGTACATTCCTACTACCAGACCTTTACCGTGTCAAGTAAAATTTTTTTATTAACCTTGGTCATGTATTTACATTGAAGACTATGACAGCAGTGGCTGAGAAATCAGTTTTTCCCACAGCTGATAAAATTTTAATTCATCTCCACCATGTATTTGTATTTGAAACTTCATCACCTGTGACCAACTGACACCATCTATGCTGCCTGTTGGTCAACAGACTTATTTCCTGCTGACACACCGAATGACACAAACCTTGTTCACATTCAGCTCTGTTCATCCCTCAGCTATAATGTCACTGGAGATGCGCTGGAAGACTATGTTATTCCTACCAGAGACAGCAGATCAGTACTGTGGCCATGGAGATAGTGCAGTCCCTTTGCCTAACAGATTTCTGTAAATCCACAGATGACAACCAAGCATCTTTTTTTGTTACTATATTTGCTTTTTTATTCTGTTGTTTACAGAAAATATTTACATAACTAAAAACAAAAGAGAGTTTAATAATAACAAGTGCCAGCTTATGCACTGATGCCCCAAAAGAGACAAAGGGTGTGAAAGGTCCCCCTCCTTCCCCATGCAGAAGGGTGGTGTAGCCGGAGAGCCGTGGGTACTGCAGCTCCACACTGACAAGCACAGACCCAGGAAGGTACTTGGGCCCCCTGCACAGCACCTGCCAAGGACTGTGCACCTCCAGATGTTGCAGTGGGATAGACCAAAAAATCCCTACCACACAGAGCAGAGCAGCCATCCACTTTAAACCCTGTGACGAGTGAGCAGGCAAAGGATTCATAAAGGGGTCCCACACTGCCAGTACTGCAGCGCGAGGTCTGTGAAAGGTTGGCTGCTCCACAAGCAGGATTTCTCAAACTTGTTGCTGTTATGTCTACACTTACTAAACAAAAGGTCACACCCTATCTCATGCTAAGTGACATTCAGATGCAATGCAGTTATTTAGTTTCATGAAACCTGTCTTGCCAAAGTTTGGAATGACCTCAGCCCTAGGTGCTGCGTCCCCACCTTTGACATAGGTGCTTGCACTCTTCTGCTTGGTATGTTGCCTTCGTTTTCCTTCACTGCCAACCTTCTGCTTTTTCCTTCAATTCTCTTATAGTTCTGATAAAAGGTGTTTGCATTTCCAAGTCCTCTGCCACTCTCCTCCATTATCTGTTAACATCCTACAAGTCTTTGACCTTGATTTATTTCTTTCCACCTTCAAAAATTCCTCCTAGAATCTCAAGTGCAAAAAAAAATATAGCTACAATTTCCATGTCACTGAAGTGCTAAGGGTAGAAAAAAAATCTTTTTTTTTTTTTTTAAGTTAGACTAATTTGCAAATTAAAAACAATGTCTTCTCTCAGACAGCTTCTCCAGTGTTTTAATGACTGGTTTTGTATGTGACTTCTCTAAAACTTTATATACAGTATAAAAAAAAATTGACCAAGCCAGAGCTACTACAGAGCTGAATTAATCTGTGTTGAGCCTTACAAGATGCACTTTGATTTAATAGAATTGTAGAATATCTTGAGTTGGAAGGGACCCTTGAGGATCATCAAGTCCAACTCCCAAAAAAACTGGGGAAAAAAACATGACCTGATAGCATATTATTTCAGAAATGGCATGCTATATAACAAAGACAAGTAAACAAGAAACAGCATATGTTTCAAAGGTGCAGGCTTACATAGCTGTATTTTGACAGAATTCTGAACATTTGCTACAGGCTCTTTGTGTTTCCAGTTAATTCCTGGAGAAGTGCCCCCACAGGTTACCTACACAGAAAACTGTGCATGCCATGCTTTGAGTGTTATGAGCATGGAAATAAAAACCTGCAAGTGTTGTGAGAGAAATCTTGGCCCTTCTGAAACAGGTGTCAAAACCTCTACTGACAACTCCAGCTTGCCTTTCAATGTTCTGTTTAAAATCAGTGTAACCTATTTTTGCAGCTGGATAGGACATGTACAGTCTGCACTAGATGAGAGTATTACTAGGCTTACAGTAATCATAAGCACTCCCAAAGAGAGCAGAACACCACAAAAGCTCTTAAAAATACCAACAATAAAAAGAAGTGATGGGTTTTACACACAAATCACCTAAGCCTGCTCCACCTCAGCACAGCACTAGACTGTGCTCCAGCACCACAAGCACACATCAGCCCAAAGCAGCAGGAGCAATGGCAGGTGGAACCAGCATTGGGCTAGGACAGGGGAAGCCTGGACTTCTACACCTGCAGTGGGCTTGGTGACACTGCCCACCACCAGGGCAGGGAGTGACATTTAACCTGAACAAAGGTGTGTAGAAACAACACATTGGGAGAGGAAATAAGAGTCTGGCAAGAACTGATTATCTAACAGTGAGGAGTTGCAGTCATAGCTAGTCATCAGGGTTGGCTAGATAAGGAGATTAGGATTTAGAAATTAATGAACTGCCTAGGATGAGCAAGGAGGGAGACAGATCTGAGGAGGAGTACTAGTAAGGCTGGAAAATAGTGTGAGACAGAGCCAAGAAACAGGGAAGCTTTGAATGCAGGGGGAGACTAGGGAAAGAAACTGTGCTTGAGAGGGAGGCAAAGATTAGGAAAAAGGACAGTTAGGTGCAATAGCAACCAGCTAAACAAGCAAAACAGGAAAGATATTGGGGCACTGATGGGGGACAGGACAAGGGCACCTTGGAAAGGAGAGTGGTGTCTGGGGAGGGGGGGAAAGGTTTGCAGGTAGGAAGCTCAAAGAGCTTGGGTAGTGATTTCCACAACGAGCTCAGGGGGACATCTAGGACTGGCTGGAGAAGGATACTGGTAGAAGATACCTAAAGAGACCAGAGATGACAAAGCAGCTGGTGTGCACAAGGGACAGGGCTAAATCAGGCTCAAGTTGGAGAAGGAGGAAATGAAGGAGCAATTGAGTCTGTGCCACCAAGTACACACTTTTCTTCAACTCCTGGGATGCAGTCCAGAGCTTTTCAGCCTGAGCCTTTTCAGCCTTTCCCTGTGTCCCAAGCTACAGAGCTACTTTCTATTTTAAACAGCAGCACACTTGCTTTGAATGGGAGTGCCTGCAGGAATTAGGAGCTCATATCATGTTATTAACCACCACCTAGCCCAGAAGCAGTTATGGATCTGTTAGAAGAAACTTGAGGGGGTTTTGTACATCCATTTCTGATCTTTGAGTGGTGGTCTTTAACCTAAGTATAACGTTGTTCATTGTACTAATGCTTATCATAGCATGGGAGAACACAGAACTTGAAAAATCCTAAACAAGAACCATCAACATTATCTAATGATTCATCTAGCCTGGTTAGGAAGCTGTATAACTCATTAAGTGTATTTCAGGAGTTGGTTTGTCATGAGAGATAATGCCAGACAGTTGACTTCTGCAAGCAACATTTTTTCTCATCTTAATTTTAGAAAAATATTAGAATTACAGAAAAGTATAATTAATCGAATCTGTTTATTAATTTCATTAGTGTGGTAATGAATTAAATAGTTGTCAGAGTAGGAAAGCACTCCTAAATCACTGTTTATCTACAAAGATGAAGTTGAGCTCTGAAGAGATCATCTGAAATCACACAATTAAACATTAGCATGATGAATTCATTGATTGCCTTTCTGGTCTGGCCACCAGCAGCTATCAACATCTAGCTACAGAGTAAGAACACAGAGCCAGTGCAGGGTGGGGAGGACTGGGCTGCACCTTGGTGACAACCTAGTCTCAGATCAGTTCACATCAGCAATGAATATACTGACCAACTGTAGTCCTGTATTCCAATAACTCTTATTTTGTGCCTGAGAAAGTGGGTATTACATAAAACTGTTTCACTTGCAGGAGAAACCATTTAATTTGCAATTAAGACCACACAATGACAATTTGAGGACCCAGTTTCCCTGTTATTCTTGGGATATACAACTTGTATCAGGCAGGCAAATAGGAACAGTGTTGACAACAAGGTGATCTATTTTTTTGGATGTGAATTTTTTTTGCTACACGTATACTTACATACATATGTGCAAGTATTCTTTGCGAAAGACAGCTTGACAGCTGCATGTCCAGATTGTTATCTTTCAGGAAGGACAAAACCCCACTGAACCTACAGCAACCATTAAAAAGTATTTACTCACTAACCTACACTGATATGTTTATGCCAAAACCAGATGAGGATCCTGTACTCCCTTAAAGGCAGCATTCATTATTTCAGTACACCCTGTAAAATTGTAAGTTGTATTTCCTACCTTATCTTCACTGATTTTCCTGCCTCTCCCCTACCTACTCCAATATTTAGAATACCTTTCCTTGTGGAAAGTCCCTCAGGTGGTAGTTTAAATTTTCCCCCAGAGCAATGGGGAGTCACACTGCTGTCTGTCCCTTGCAGAAGCAGCATTTGGTTTTGGTTTACCCCAGTGTTGTCTTTGTGCTAATATCTAAAATCATCTCAGGTCTTGCGTTCCGCACGCTCAGCTGACCATGCTCCTCTCACGGGGGTGTCTGAACACATCCTTTTTTTCCTTTGTTTCCTAGATCTGCAGCCTCCAAAGTTTGTTGATATCACCCTAAGAGTCCTTGTCCCCTGTGGTGCCAAAAGACAAAATAAAGAAAAGCTTATTTAGGAAGATTTCAAGTGAGGCTAGGAGACTAAACAGATGTGTCACAGGTGTAGAACAGAACCCAGTCAATTTAGCTGGATACCTTCCAAGATGCTTTTGCCTGCCTTGCTTGAGAGTTCCCAGACATATCCCATTAGCTGGAGGTGGGAACACAAGCTGTACAGCACCAACATGTTGGCCAGGTGTGGACCAAGTTTTCTAAATTTTCTAAGTCAAGTTAGAGAAGAAGGGAAGGTTAGGTCCCAACTTCCCCTCCCTCCATCAATTTTACAGTTAGCATTACAATTGTAATTGTCATTTACCTTCTTCTCAGTATAAGTGGCCTTACTGTTGATAAAGCCCCTTGACAATTAATTTTATGTTGGCTTTCAGTGCTCACTTACTGTGTTTGGGGTTAACATCTTAAAAATAAACAAGTTGCTAGTTTTGCTTTGTGAGCAGAAAGAAATGCCCTAGATGACACTGTATCTCTACTTTATGACTGTTAACTAACGCTTACACCTTATCACACTGAATTATCTGAAGACAAGAACCCTGACCTCATGTAGAGAATATTATTGGACTTAGCTTCTGTTCTGAGGTCTGATCTTCTCATTTAACAGCAAAAATTCTGATATCCTAGATATATCCTTCATCCTGCACCATCTGCTCATCTCACAGCAGTTTGTTGTGGTTTAACCCCGCACACAGCTAAACAGCACAGAGCCACTCGCTCACTCCCCTGCAGTGGGATGGGGCACAGAATTGGAAAAAAGGTAAAACTTGTGGGTCAAGATAAAGACGTTTTAATGGGACACAAAAGGAAGGGAAAAAAAATAATAATGATAAAAGAATAATACAAAACAAGTGATGCAGAATGCAATTGCTCCCCACCTGCTGACTGATGCCCAGTCAGTTCCTGAGCAGTGGGCCACCACCCTCCTACCAGCCTTTCCCCCAGTTTTATTGCTGACCATGGCATCATACAATCTAGGATATCCCTTTGGTCAGTTGGAGTCAGCTGTCCTGGCTGTGTCCCCTCCCAACTTCTTGTGCTCCCCCAGCCTACTCACTGGTGGGGTAAGAAGCAGAAAAGGCCTTAATTCTGTGAAAGCCCTGCTCAGCAACAACCAAAACATCAGTGTGTCATCAACATTATTCTCATGCCAAATCCAAAACACAGCACTACACCAGTTACTAGGAAGAAAACTAATTCTATTCCAGCCAAACCTAGGACACTGTTACAGGTTCAAAACATTAGTCAATTACCTGTGAATTTTTCCACATTTAACTATATTCTTCCAGTGATGAAGTTTCCAAGCTTTTATTTATTTTTAATTTACAGCAATATTGTGCAAATTTCCATAATAAACCATTAAAAAAATATTTTCCTTCAAGGGAAAACACCTGGGTTAGGATGTGTGTTTCCAGCAGCAGATTCCTTGTAACAGCAAATAAAACAAACACAAATTAGTAGCATGAATTCCTAATTCATTTTCCTTCCTGAGACATCACTCACCTCAGTCAAGTTCATTCAGACTGAGACCTGGAAGCATGGGATATAACACATGGTGGCTTTCTCCCCAGAAGAGCCAGAAAACAGAAGAAAAAAAAAATCATCTCTTATTTGTTCATTATCCTCCTATTTGCACCACCCTTTTTTTCAGAAACAAAGCCCTTCTACATTGTAGGTAGGACCTTTCATCATCCCTGCTACAGACTTGAAGACCCTACTCTTTCTCTGGTACCAGAGCTGCTGAAATCAAACCAGGTGTGAGGGGAAGACCTGGAGCATTAGCCCAGACACAGGAATCTGAACAAAGTTTTGTGCTTGGGCTGTCCATTTGACATGTACCCAAAAATTGCTAAAACACCCTAAGAAAGGTTAGTCACTTCTGGATCTCTTACAGAATCTAGGGAATGAAGGACATGACTTTGTATTTTGAATTTGTTTTATAATTAATAGCAACTTCTTCTCAGGATGCACTTGCACCCACATGTGGGTGGATTGCAATCCAAAATCTGAGCTAAAGAATATTATTAACTTCAATCATGAATTCAACACTGGATCATCAGTGCTTAGCAACTCTGGAAAATCACCCCTAGAACAAATAATTCATAAAGCTTGTGGTGCTTGGGGGTCCATATTCAAAAGGAGACTGATTATCAGTTACAGGAGGGACTAAGTGCATACACTTGCTGAAACACACACAGTAAATGGTACAAAACGGGCACAAGTGCTGTGCTGACTGGCATGGTCAAGATTTTGTTTTTACCTCTATAAATGAACTAATTTTTGTCTATTTCCCTGACACAGCTGCATTATTTTCCTGCACGTGCTGTGTTTCTGCTCACTCTGCTACCTTTTACTTTAGCAGTGTTTGCCTCCTTTGTGTCTGCACTTCAGGGATGTTGCAGAGCTCAGGAACTTAGATACTAGCAGTTATATATTCTAAGGAAGTATCAGAAATTGAGGATACTCACTCAAGAAACATTATGCATCTTACTGTTTGCAGCCTCCTCTGGAGAACAGTCGTCCTCCACCTCTTCCTCTGGGACCACTTAAAGAAGATGAATCGACTCATAACTTGACACGCCTAATTACTACATGCTGCTAACATTCAAGGATGCTGTCAGATAAAGGAGAGGGTGTAGCCTCCATGCAAACATGCTTTCCTGCTCCTCAAATCAAAGGCCTTCCTTTAAGTAGAGTCATCTAATTAATTTAGGGCCAAATGAAGCTTCACAGGCAAGGGCAATTTCAGATGAGGCATCATAAATAAGCAATACAAATCGCTCATTCATCCTATAATTATTAGGTATTTTCAAAACAAGCCTTACAACAAAGCTGAGGGCTCCTATTGTTTCTATCGGAAAAGGAGGAAAAGGCTTCTTTAATCACCTTACCTTGAAATATATTTATAGAGAGGATGAGTAAATGAATAAATACAGCAACCTAAAAAGTTAGAAAGCAATTAAAAGAGATTTTAAAATTATTTAAACCAGCTAAAGCTATTAGAATGATGGGCAATCAAATCCTTCCTCTTCCAACAGTTCTGACAATTAGCCTGTATTTCCTGATTATGGAAAGGCTGCTCATGTTTTTAATTTAGTAATTTCTAACAGGGGGAATCATTAATCCACCCCAAACATCACATTTCACATGCAGTCCAAGGGTCATACTGGATGAGTTTGCATATTAAGTCCAAAACTGAGTGGTATTCTGTTACCAAGTGATGGGTCTGCTGTCTAACCAATTATCTAGCTACCAGTTTTCCATTTGCTTTGGTCCAAACTATCT